GGCTCACACCTGCTTAGCTTCAGTGGGTTGCCAGTTGTGAGTTGCAGGGTGATATGGCTGCTGGCATATGTAAATCATATACTGGCAGTGAGGACTGTTCTTCTTTCATCAAGAAATTCAAAGGAAGGAAAGAGTTAAATACAAGCAACAGAAATGAAACAGGCCTACATGTGTTATACCAGCTATGCAAATGCCTATTTTTTTATAGAAATGTAAATTTACACAACGTAATTAACATCTGCAATGCAGTTAAGCACTGGAGTGAAAGCTGTTTATCAGACATCTGTCTTCCAAGTACTGTAAACAGTATGTATATGAACACTTTCCCTAACTCTGATTGTTACACAAGCTCCTAGCATATGTGCTCTTCATTTCAGGATGCTGTTCTGAGAAGACACACTAGAGAACTGTGCAGGCCTGCTTCTGAAGACAGGCTGCTATTCTTGGGTGCTATGCTCTGCAGTCTTGCATTGATTAATCCCTTGCTGACAATTCATTCTCACAGACCTATTTCTGTGCATGTTAGGGCATTCCTCAGTTTTATGGTGACCCCTCAAACAAAATAAGGTAAACCTCATTTGATATCATGGCAGAGACATCCATTATGACCTAGACCAGCAATGAAGCTAGAGAATTAAAAGGAACAACATCCTGGCAAAAGGGTCTGACCTGTTGTGCACTAAGCATCAACAGTTAGTTCCTAAGCATCAACAGATAAACTTACGTTTCACATTTTGAAGTTACAGTAGGAATAGTTACAGTAGATAAACAGGACCAAATAACTGATACCTAACAGGGAATATATTCTTGTATAACTTCACCATTTTATATTCTATAAACATGTTTTTAAAACACTACAACTATGTTTCAGTAGTAAAACCACAAAATTAGCAATGGTCTTTGAATTCTACAATGCAGATCCTCAGATGAGTAAGTTTTAAGTTTAAAAACTTTTCACTAGCATTCCACTAGCAGTCTCTGTAAAGGAGGCGGAAGCTATTAGCAGTACAGTACACCTGCTTCGAATGAGCCTTCTTTCTGTTTAATATACAGCTTCAGAAATATTTGACATTTTACTGTGCACTTGACTTTCCACATAAAAGTTATCACTTTTGCTGAGGAAACAAATCCCATGGCTATCATGTAAGAGCATGCATTCTATGCAAGGCTGTTAAAACTCAGTGCTGAAGAAAAAGAAATGTTTGTTAATTGTTCTTTATTTCTGTTCAGTTCTTTAGAGGTCAATGTTTATTTTCCAAAGAAAAAACAAAAGATAAAGAAAACGGCTGTCATCACAGCACAGCATGAATATGCATATATTATTTACCCTGTAAAACATAATGGAGGTGTAGTAGGGCAGACGTGACCACAGGGATCCCTGACCTTGACCTCGATCCAAACATAAAAGGTCATTCTAAACCACCTAGATCCAACAATTTGGAAAACTTGTTGGGTTACAACTAATTAAGCAAGTAATTTGATCCGATTCAGGGAACCTTTATTCTTTAAACCTGAAGGAAATTAAGATACATTCAAATGATCTCTCAATTACATAATTGAACAAAATCTAAGGAGAGCACAGTTATACTTTTTCAGGTCTATAAGAATGCAGCAGTTAGCTTTGAAACTAAAGATTTAAAGATTTTAATCATTTAAAGATTAACATTTTAAATTTCCAAGAGTGGGGTTGGCCAATTTGCCTTCTAGTATAAGAAAATGAAGCAGGAAGGATGCTATAGGATTCATTAAGGCAGGAGCCACATTAAGGCTGGAGCAGCAACATGGTCACTAATTTACAGGCTAAACTGTGAACTGATTCAAACAGCAGACTCTTCCAAAGTCCTGGCAGGTCCGTCCCTACCTGATGGTGCCAGTAGGAGAAGGCAGCGGACTCATCATGGTTCTGAAATCAGGATCAGGAATGTTGATTTTCAGAGGAGAGATCTGGGCATAAAGAGGCCTCACTGGGGATAATGGGGCTTCCTCCTTCACCTCTTCTTTGTGGTACAGCGAGGTAAACTGGATCTTAATGACAGTGCTGGGGAAACGAAATGTACACCTGGAAAACAGGAAAAAGAACAATACAGGGTTGTTGTTTTTTTAAAGAAAAGCCTAAAAGGAAATTGGACTCATTGCAAGCTTAACACAAAATTCAAGATGAATTGTTCACATTGCATAAACTAAGACTTAATAAGAAACACACAATACACCAACAGGGATTAAATTTAGAATCGCACTAATTATGTCCTTGTACAAATATTGTGTCATATTAAATAAGTCTGTGGGTCCAGTGCAAGCCTTGGAACCTTTCTTCTCAAAGTATTCCAGTTGTATTATAGGAAAATAAATCTGCACTAAAAATATACACATCTGTTGTTGTTCCTGATAAAATATCTGCAACAGTAGGAAAAAATAAAAAAAACATAACAGAAGCATGTAGAATCACCCTCCTGTTGGGCTTCAGCAGTAATGTTTGGAAACACACAAAACCTAATACTGTTTGTCTAAATCTGCAAGATAAACACCTAGCACTTTCAACTCAAACAGTGTAATGCTACATCAATGATGATTACAGTTTAATAGACTGCCTGGCAGAGGCGGCTTGTTGGCAAATATGCACTGCGTGTTCCCCATAAACACAATACCACTGTAATATTGGTGTTCACATCCACAGTTCTCTATTATACATCTCAGTTACAATGAAACAACCTTTTCACTGACCATCACCGTGTGATGTCCATCAAAATGGCATATGAAGGGATGAGAATTTCTCCTTAATTACCCAGTCTTTGACAAAGAACAAATGCTTACTGTTGCACCTTTAGTGCAATATACACAAAACATAAATGCATTCATGCATTGAAATTAAACTCCCCTTTTAACATCATGTTACATAACAATATGTTAAGATGCTGTCAATGTTTCACCATCAAGTATTTTATAATTCTAAATACAATACAACCATTCTGTTATTATAAAGGTCCTAACTCAAATCCGGTTTTACAGTAGAGAACTATAAAAGAGTTTTACTGATGTGCATGTGCTCACAGAGGGGTATGTGTGGAGAAAAGGGCTGTAAGGTGTGATTGCAATACTCTTCAGTCAGGATGTGGTTGTTGAGGAGGAACCTCCAAATTTTACCAGCTAACAGGGGAAAGACAGGTTTGTTGTTTGCGTTGCTACGGGAATCCGCTTCAGTGCAGATTGAGAAAACCAGTTACAGGACATAAAAAAAGCCTACCTCTGTTTCCGATTAAAAGTCACATGGTCAAAACTTACAACCCTTCTATAATTATATCGACTTGTAATTATTGTGAAACATTTGAACCCACTTTTATTAATAGACAAAGTTAACCAATTGCTATAAGCAACCAAAAAAACACAGGCTGTTAGAGAGTGGTAATACCAGTCATTTGTTGAAACTGACAATTATGCTTGTATTATACTTCAAATATTTATATGTTAAAATGTTAAATGTAAATTTTGCATTAACGATGTAGGAAAAATGATTTAATAAAGCTCTTGACTGACACTGAAATCTACTGTAATGTTATATAGGATTCTGTTTGCTACATAAACAAAACATACTGACAAGCTACATTAGAATGGCTTTTGATTCTGAAACAGACTTGCTTTAATAATTCTTTGAAAGCTATATAAACTCTGCAAGAAAGAAGTTGTCACTAGTGTTAAGCATGCCTTGTACAAAAAGCCCTACTTCATGGTTCTAATGAGAAAGTATTAGCAAAGTCCAGAACATATAAGTCTGCTGTTACTCCTGACCTTAGTCAGATATAAATATTTGAAACACAAAGTCTTATAATGCCTCTTCTCACATAGAGACCACATTTTGCATGATAAACCAAGATAAGTAAAGTTACCAACGGTGAAAAAAATCTGAAGTCCACAAAAACTTAATCTGCGTGACAAACTAATGTGCTTGTTAATTAGAATATCAAGACAGCAAAGCAGAGCTGCAAAGCTATCCATGCTGAAAGACTACCACGTAATGCTAGTGAAACAGGAAAACACAGGAAAAACCACAGGAAAAGCAACTGAACAGAAAGACAAACCAGGGAATCCGAATTAGCTTAATATAGATATACAGAAGTATTACTTCAAAAACATAGTCAATGACCAGCTCAGATTAGTTTACCTGCAGATCAAAAAATCTAAAAAAAAATCAATCTGAGTTCAAGAAGGAAAGCAAAACTTTCTAAGGAAAAATCCCTTCAGGTTTTTTTTTGTTTGCACAGCCTATCAGAGACAAATGATGACAACTCTTTAGGTGGTTAATGCTTCTCCTCTGGGAATATTGGTGCAGTGGAAGAAATATTTACACAAGGCCCACAAAGGAAAGCCACATTCAGTGCTGCAGTGTACACAGTACAGTTGTTTTGGAAGTCAAGCTTGCGCCCATCCAGAGATTTTGCTCTTTTTCATCTGTTGCTTTGTGCCGCCTTTCTACTCAAATAATCACCTTTACTACAGCAATTGTAAGAAGGACCCTACACTGTACTACCCGCCTATTTATTACTGTTATTTCTCCACTGCAGGCTAATGAAAGCAGCAAAGCCCTCAAACATAAGGTTTTACACTTCCTTTGGCATTGCCCTATTACACATCTCCCAGAAAATCAGAGGAGCTGGGAAAACAAATACAGTGGCAAAAGAATTGGTTTTCAGGAGCATATTAGCAGAAGAATGTAATAATTATTAGGAGATTACAGAGATTGTACCAATACTCTGTTGGTTGTGTAGGCTTCTTTGCTGTAGTTATTGGGCAAGACATAAAAAGGTAAGGATATGCTTGTTTCTTTTTATTGCACTATGATGATGGCTTTGTCACAGGCTGACTTTTCGTACAGAACACGGCGAGAGGAGTAATGTAGTTTAGATTACCTTTCACATCAATAGCACAGCATGTATTGTTCAGTACAATTTCTTTGTATGCTATGTTGTACTCTTAACTAAAAATACAACCAGGAAAACTGGGGGATAACTGTGCTTCTAAAGAAAAAAATGGGACTCCTAGTGGTTCGAATTCAGCAAAGACATATTCTGTTTTCACTATGTAAAAAAAACATTTGCAACTTTTTCCATATACAAGTAAAAGCTGGCTACGTGAAACAAAAACCTTCATACAAACCGTTAACAGTGCAGTACTAATTCTTGTCATGTCAAGTCATAAATGCCCCATTACGGCAATATTGTTTTCCCTTTATTATACTTAACAATACAAGGAATGCAGAATTAGCAGAACGTCTAACAAAGCTGTATACCAAACCAATATTTATTAATATTAGATTTTGGTGTCATAAATGTATCCCAGCATTAACTCACGCCTCATCATGAAAGGTCACTGCTGTTGGATGCCTGTGGCAAGCAGACTAAATAACAGAAGAACTTGTTTCCTTGGTAGCCTCTTAGCCTAAACCTCTACACATTCTTTCAATATAAGAATGTGAGACATATTCTACAATATACACAATGTGAGACTGCACTGGTGCAGAAGAAAGAATAATCAAGATATGATCAAAAGAGGAACACATAATTTCTATTTAATTTCCATTAAAAGTAAAATATTTTTCAAAGAGCACACAAAAACACCGGCACCCTGCAGTCTTTCCATAAACACTTTAATATAGGTCTCAGTTTCTGAATGTGAGAGTGATGAACCCTTTAAATTCTTTCCAAAGAGTTTTTTTTTCACGATTCTGTTTTCACTGTTTTAATCAACAGATATCACTTCATATGGAAAGTACTGTAATAAACAGCTAATTCTGACCCTGTCAAAGTTTTCAAAGCACATGGTTTTTCAAGATCAATTTTTCAAGATGTTTTCTGAGATCATTCAATAGACAACAGGATTTTACTTAGTGTAGGATTTAAGCCAAAAAAATGCTCAATTTTGATACATAGAAAATAATAAAAGGTTTTAAGACAGATCAGAAAACAAACAAGCTTCAGCTTTATTATAAGCATCGTCAGAAGCAAGATTATAATCTAGTGTTCAATAAGCAAGTAAATACAAGGATGCCCGGCAAATCAACAGAAGATGCCTTTTCAATTTACACAGGATTATTAGATATAGAAACCATTAGATACTTGAAAACTGAAGACGTTTTTCAAAAAGCAAAAACACTCTCCCTATGCTTTCAAGTGTTTAACAGGTTTTTATCCCTTTTTATGGGAGGGGCAATAGGTTCTTCTACTTCTGAAGAGGCACAGCACATCTGCATGAGCCAAGCTGCAAGAGAATCACATGACAAACATGATCGTAAACATTTGTACTCTCCAAGATAATGGCGTCAGTTTAAACGCAGTGGTATAAACACTGCATTATAAACAATCAACATGTATGTCGATTGGTCCTGTACAATGTTCTTTAACAAAGAGCTACAATTGTTCTGACCAATTAGTTGCACATTCCAATAAGTGCTGTTATATTTAGCAGTTCCTATGGTAGCATCTCTAAGGCAACCATTTAACCATGACTACACAACAAACCAACAGACAAGAGTTTTCAGAAAAGGCCTCAGTTTACTACTCTTGAAAACTGAAGACAAAAACAAAACGTTGACTGTAAAAAGAAAGATCAAAACGGAATAGCCTCCTAGACTGGGCCATCAAAATAAAACTGAATTGAATAATTATCTCAGTCTTAATCACAGGCCGAGATCAGAGTACCTTTTCTTGTTGGCAGAGCTTATTCTAGCTTTCCCTTAACTTTCTAGAGGACAAAATGGTATAAGAGTTATTAAAATTTAGCCTACACCAATACATAGCTTCAGTGCATATTAAAGCCTGAAATTTCACTGAAGATCCAGCATCTAATGCATTTGATAAATAAGCAATCCATTCTAAATTCCTAAAAGGAAAAGTAAGATCCTGTAGCATTTAATTCATGAACATGTAAGATCTACAGGTTTTGATTATCTGATTTAGACACTGGTGCCTGTGAGAAGTAGATCTGCACTCGATATGGAAGTGCCTTTTGAAGAACTGCCTCAAAAAAACATCACAGCTATAATGAAGTGAAGAAACATGCAGCAATACA